CAGCCTACGCCGTCGTCGGCGACTCATGGCAGCCCAGCTCCAGGTTGAGCTGTTGTTCAGCATCTTAGCTGTGGAGGCAGTGTCACTGGCCCTCATATATGGGATCCGAACTGGGGCCCTCTGGCGTCCCAAGCCAGCTCTTAACCATTGTGCCACTCGGCCGGCCCATTATTATTAGTAGTAGTAGTATTAGTATTATTATTTAATGTTACTTACTATCTAACTTTAGCCTCCTTAGAGATGTGGGTACAAGTCAGCCTTTCTGTTTTTACTCATCTAGGTTGTAGTTCTACGTGTAGTTAAAATTTAGATTCTCTATAGGAAATTCATAATGTAATTGTCAACATCCTTAATCTGCTAATCTGTTTGTTCTAAAAGGACAGGGTAAATTTAGTCAGAAATACAATCTTAGTTTTTCAGTTCCCAGCTTGTTGGGAAAGTTTGATTCATCTCTGTTGTTTTTTATCTTCCTCCTAACATCTCACCTTGCTCACCCCATTCCAGTCCAAGCTTATTTGATATTTTGCAACTGTGTGGATGGGAAGTCTGTCTAGACTAAATATAGCAGTTTCTAGATGCTGTCGAGGTTTTATAAGTGTATCCCACGTACTACATCCTCAACTCAATATATTCTGGATCATTGTATTTTACAGAAAAAATGGTTATAAAAGTTTAGGATCTGAAATGTACTTTTTCTTTTCAGCAAAATAATCTTTAGTAAAATAGTAGTTTGTGTCTAATAGTAGCCCCATTTTCTAAGAGAGTAAATAAGAAAATGCAGTCTTTTTCTTCTTATGTTTGGACCTCGTTTTGGTTTCTGAGCAGAAATGAAACCAGCTTACCAACTATGATAACTTTTAATTGTAGAGAAGTTAACAAGTGAGATACAGAGCCGGGAAAATAAATGCATGGCGATGTACAAGAAGCTGAGCAGGTGGCCAGAGTGCAACGCCCTTTCCCGGCGCCTCTTACTGAAAAAGTGAGTAGATGCGACTTTTTGGAGGATGAGATTAGAATGGGGCTCTCAGGTGTCAGTATTGACTTTTTTTATCTATGACTTTTGAGAAAACTTATTGTAGTGTGTTCTGGATATTTAAAAAAGTTTTCGATGAACCTTCATCTTTAAATAAAGAGTAGTATTAGGGCTTTAGAATGAATGCTGAAAATCATTACTTTGTCAAATTCAATATTCGTCTAAAAGAGAGAGACCTTTCCCCCCACCTAGGAAGTGTTAATGTGGGGAGTTTTCTGTTAAGAATATTAGTTTTCTAGACTGGGTCATTTTTATTGAAGGGAAGAGTAGTTTCTGAAAGGTTTCTTTGTAAATGCTTCTGGAGTGCTGCACTTTTAGAGCTGCAGAAGAAACCCTGGGGTGGGGGTGGGGGCTCCCTTAGTAAAGACTAAAATATAACTTAGAAAATAAATTGAATGTCATGGTTCCTAAGGAAGATTTGTCACAACTTGGGTTTAATCCTGTGTGCACCGTTCAATCTGATTTTAGCTCAGATGACTGGCAGTTCTATCTGACTTATTTCGATTCTGTCTTTCGACTGATTGAAGAGGCCTGGACTCCTCCTGCTGAAGGTGAACAGTAAGTTGTCTTTCCTCAATTATAACAACACTTTTTTTTTTTAATTGGGAGATTGGGGAAGGGGAACAGTATTAGGGAATTGGAGAAGGGGAACAGCCAAATTGTTGTCCTTCAATATTAGTTGTGGAGGACGCAGCTAGCTCAGCTCCAAGACCAGTTGCCATCTGGCTGCCCGTCGGCAGCTCGGGGCAGCTCAGCTCAAGGTACTGTGTTCAATCTTAATTGGGGGGTGGGCATAGCCCATCATCCCATGCAGGAGTCGAACCAGCAACCTTGTTAGGAGCATGTGCTCTCACCAGCTGAGCCATCCTGCCACTCGGTGGCAGCTTAGCTCAGACGTAGCTCACTAGCCCATGTGGGAATCGAACTGGCGACCCTGTTGCTCAGAGCTTGCACTCTTAACCAACTGAGCCACTTGGCCGGCCCCACAACACTTTTTAATATGTTGTAGCAAAAGAATTTTATTGTAAGCCTGGCTGAATTCTCTTGTTCTGTGTCAATAATTTATCTCTTTCAAAGTAAGATTTCCCCCCCACCCCCACCCCCATCCGTTATTTAAATTATAAAATAAATACATGTTCATTGTAAAAATTACCCATTCTTTTTTTATGAAAGAGGTAGAGGTGGTTAGTCACTCTGCAATAATCAAATGCCGTAATTGGGAGTAATCATATGCCATGTTATTTGCCAGAATATGATTACAGTTTTCTTTTACCCACGTTTGTATTATAATTATCGAAGTGCTTTTTCTTATTTTTCAGTTTGTTTCTTGAAATCAATTTGGCTTGACTTTAAGTTTTGGGATGGACAATAGAGCACAAAATACCTTTTTCATGTGTTTATACCCAGCTCTTTAGAAGGAGAAGTACATTATTCTGCAGAAGAAGCTGTGAAGTTTATAGAAGATCGGATAACAGAAGAATCTAAAAGTTCTCGCCACCTTCGAGGACCACATCTAGCTAAACTGGAGTTGATTAGACGCTTACGGCATCAAGGTTTTAATGATGAGTACAAACTGGGTAAGAAACTGTAATGATTTGGGGGAACCCTGGAGAAGGAACAGGAATGCTCTTTTTCTTTTTTTAAAGATTTTTGTTGGGGAATTGGGGAAGGGGAACAGTATTGGGGAAGGGGAACAGCCAAGTTGTTGTCCTTCCATCTTAGCTGTGGAGGGCGCAGCTAGCTCAGCTCCAAGTCCAGTCGCGCCGCTCAGCTCAAGGTGGTGTGTTCCATTAGTTGCGGGTGGGCGTAGCCACCATCCCATGCGGGAGTCGAACTGCCAGCCTTGTTGTTAAGAACGTACGCTCTATCCCCTGAGCCACGCGGGTGGCAACTCTGCTCAAGGTGCCGAGTTCAATCTTTAGTTGCGGGTGGGCATAGCCCACCATTTGAACTGGCACCCTTGTTATTAGGAGCATATGCTCTCACCAGCTGCTCAGCTCGGGGCGCAGGATCACTGGCCCATGTGGGAATTGAACCGGCGACACTGTTGCTCAGAGCTCACACCCTTGGGCAAGTTCTTAACCAACTGAGCCACTTGGCAGTCCCAGGAATGCTCTTGATACCCAAGTGCAGTATTCATTATCTGAGTTCTACAGTGACAGTCATGTCTGAGAAGCAAACGTTTTCATAACCTGAAAATATTTGCTAATGAATGGATCACTTATAAAATTAACCTTCAATCACATGTTCAACTTGACTTAACATTATCATCTCTCTCTATTCCATCGGTCTTTGTCAGGCATTCTCTTGCTGTCCCAACAGTAATGTCAAAATCAACTTCAAAGTAACATAGCCAGTTTTGTAAAAGTTTCAGTATTTCATGAGGTGGATGAAAGGTTTCTTGAAAATCTACTCCCAGTACTCACAAAACCATTGATGAAAGAACATTTGGCCGAGTTAGAGCCATTAACAATTGAAGAGAAAATTTATAAGGATAATGACAGGATTGGAGAAAAGAATGATTTAGATAGTGAAGCAGTAAGAGTGGCCTTCAGGAAATTTGATGAAGCCCTAGATGTTTTTGTAAAATGGTTCTTTTTGAGCTTACTACAGAAGAAGTGAAGGGTGTCATATTGTATTAGTTTATAATTTTGTTGGAAAAATGTTACCCCTTCCCCCCCAAAAGCAGTGATTCTTTGCTCATGCTAAACATTAGCTTATAGTAATTATACACTAAATTTTGTTAAGTTTAAGATAATACGCTAAGTTTTCCATTTCATTTTGTAAGGTAAAGAAAGCTTCAAAGAAACCTTTTTTCCTACTCATCATTGTAGAAATTTTGTTCTTATTAAAAGATGATAACTTTAAGAGGATGATGAGTACTTCCAATACCTAAAACCTATCCTAGTACATCTTTGTACATTTTAGTCATCTAATTAATGTTCTTTGTAGCTCATTCTCAAATTAACTGTGGACTTCTATCATTTCTTTTGTAGATTATTCACAAACAATTTGAATTCCATGTTAACTTCTTTCTTTGGGTCTACCTCAATAATCTGTCTATGTTAGCACCCAAGTTGCAAATGAAAATTTTTTTTGTGACCCTCAGCAAAATATAGTCAAAATAGATTCCAAAGCTGGACATAAGCATTTGGATCTGCTCTGACACTTGCTATCTTCTATCTTTCTCTTCCTTCTTACCAGCCCGCATCTTACAAATTTGTGAATTTGTCTAGCCGTCACAAAATTTGTTTTTACCAGACGAGTGAGTGATTCTCCTTCTGGATCACAGTCCTGTGAAATTCTGATTAAAGCCATCGATCTCTGTTCCCAGAAACAGGAACCGGGCCCTAAAATCTTACAGAAGCCCTGGGTTAAAAAAAACACCTCTGCTTCTTAAATATAACTCAGTTGGAGAGCATTTTATTTTTATTATTTTTATGTTTTGTTTTTAATTTGAGGAAAAAAAATGAATTGGTAGCTTTCTGTTTCCAGGTTTAAATTTTACATAGCGACTTTGTTGGAATTACTGGCCTGTGATTCTTTCCATTTATTTTCTCTTCTTTTGGTGTGCCTGTTAACAAACATACCTTTCATTTAGTTAACATTTATTTGCTACTTCTGAAGTAGTTCAGGAACTGTTGTGGTGAGGAAGCATGTTTGTTTAATGTTTGTGTGTAAACTTAAGTCTTTATTTAAACTTTAATGAAAACGTTTTAACTATTTAAACTTGAATAAAAAGGTTCATATTTTCTAAGTGTAATAACAGATAACTGGGTTTGTAAGATTCACCTTTTTTTTAAAGATTTTTTTTTTATTGGGAAATTGGGGGAGGGGAACAGTGTTGGGGAATCGGAGAAGAAGAACAGACAAGTTGCTGTCCTTTTGTTCTTCAGTCTAGTTGTGGAGGACATCGCTTCACTGGCCCATGTTGGTATTATCATTATGTTCTTCCCGGGTGAGGCAGTCACTCGCTGGCCATTGGACGGTCGCTCACGGCAGCTAACAAAAGCTCACGCCCACTGCCAGCCAGCCCCACTGCAGCCTACACCATCGCCAGTGACTCACGGCAGCCCAGCTCCAGGTCAAGCTGTTCACCATCTTAGCTGTGGAGGGCACAGCTTCACTGGCCCTCATATGTGGGATCCGAACCGGGGCGCTGCTGCTCAGAGCTGGCGTCCCAAGCCAACTCCCAGCCAACGCACCACTTGGCCGGCGCAAGATTCACCTCCTTTTTATTTTGTTTGTATTTGTTTATTTTTAAATGGGCAAGCCGTCTTCCAGTCCTTACTGTCATTCTCATGCATTCTCATTGAAGCAAAATTTTTATTTAATTGGAATAAATGTTTTTTAAATCAGACTTTTTACTTCAGTTAGAAATTGCTTCAGTCCATGAATAATTTAGTGATTTTTTCTCTCTCTTAGGTGATCCAGAAGAATTAATGTTCCAGTATTTTAAAAAGTTTGGGGATAAACCTTGTTGTTTTACAGACCTCAAGGTGTTTGTTGACCTCTTGCCTGCTACGCAGTGTACAAAAGTAAGTATGATTCAGAATCCTGTTGGGTGCCTGCATTTGTTGTAACTAGGTTAAGTGTTTAGGTTTCCTTTCTAAAATGTGCGAGAGTGCCGAACATGAGATATCAAGATAACTGCTCTAGCAAGCCAAGTACCTAGGGGCTATCAGATTCAAGGCACGATTTCTTGTTAAACTGAGCCACAGTGAGGATAAGCCCCTGGTAGATCACTGGATTCTCCTTGTTTGTTTGTATGTTTGGTTTTTTGTTTTTTTGAGTTAATTGTAGATTTACATGCAGTTGTAAGAGAAACAGAGAGCTCTGTATACCCTTTACCCATTTTGTCCCAGTGGTAACATTGCATAATTATAGTATAATTAGGAAATTAACATTGATATAATCCACTGACCCTATTCAGATTTCACCCGTTTTACATGCATTCATTTTTGTGTGGGGGGGGGGCTGTGTGTGTGTGTTTGGGGGTGTGTATTTTGTGTGTTTTTAGTGCAGTATGTAGTGCACATGGATTATGTGACATCACCACAGTCAAGATATGACGTGTTCACCACCAGGGTCCCATGTGCTGCTTTTTTGTACCCACAGCCACCTCCCTGCACCTTCTCCTTTCCCCATCGCTATACTCTGGCAACTGCTAGTATGTGTAATCTTTTGAGGTTGGCTTTTTTCACTCAGCATAATCCCCTGGAGATTCATCTGTGTTGTTCCATGTATCAACAGTTCATTCCTTTTTTTTTTTTTTATTTAAAATTTTTTATTTATTTTATTTTTTTATTGATTGGGAAACAGTGTGTTTCTCCAGGACCCATCAGCTCCAAGTCAAGTAGTTTCAATCTAGTTGTGGAGGGCGCAGCTCACAGTGGCCATGAGAGGATTGAACCAGCAACCTTTGTGTTATGAGCACTGCACTCTAACCAGCTGAGCTAACCGGCCACTCCAACAATTCGTTCCTTTAATTGCAGAATAGTATTCCATGGTATGGGTGCACCAGAGTTCTTGAACCTGTTTCTAGTTTTTGGCTGTTGCAAATAGAATTGCTATGAACATTTGTGTGCTGGTGTTTTGTGTTATTTACTAAATGTTTTTGTTCAATAAGTGTTTTTTCTCTGAGAAGAATGCCCAATAGTGCAGTTACTGGGCCTTATGGTAGCTGCACGTTTAGTTTTCATAAGAAATAGCCAAACTTTTCTGCGGTGGCTGTACCATTTTAAACTGTTAGCACAGGAGTGATCCAGTTTCTCCATATCCTCATCAACATTTAGTGTTGTCACTGTTTTTCATTTTAGCCGTTCTGATAGGTGTGCAATGGTGTTTCATTATGGTTTTAATGTGCATTTCCCTAGTGGTTAATGATGCTGAACATCTTTTCATGTGTTTATTTGCTATCTTTATATTTTCCTCAGTGAATTTGTCTATGTCTTTTGCTATTTTCTAGTTGATTTGTTTTTGTTTTTCACTGTTGAGCTTTGAGAGTTCTTGAGATAGTCTAGATACAAGTCCTTTGTCAGATATGTGGTTTCAGATGTTTTCTCCCAGTCTGTAGCTTGTCTTTTTATCCTCTTAACAGGATCATTTGCAGAGCAAAGTTTTAAATTTTGATGAAGTTTACTGGACTCCCCTTTTATTCTCTTGTCTTTGATTTGCTTAGAACTGTAACAGTTTATTTCAAATCATGATTTATTCTTGCTGAAGCAATTTAAAACTCTTAGGTCTTAGGGATTTAAAAAAAATAAACTTTATTTTGGAATATTTTTATATTTACAGAAAAGTCACCAAGGTAGTATGTGAAATTACACTGTACTCTTCCCCCAGCTTCTCCCAATGTTAAGATCTCAAATTACCATGGCACATTTGTCAGAACGAGAAAACTGATATTGGCACAATACTATGAACTAACCTCTGGACTTGATTTGGATTTCTGCAGTTTTCCATTAATGTCCTTTTTTTTCTGGGATCTAACCAGGGTACCACATTGTAGTGAATTGTCATGTACAGTAGTTCTCCCTTATCTGCAGGGGATACTTTCTAAGACCCCTAGTGGGTGCCTGAAACTGTGGATAGTACCAAACTCTGTGTGTGTGCGCGCGCGTGTGCGTGTGTGTGTGTGTGTGTGTGTGTGTGTGTGTGTGAGAGATATGTTTTTTCCAATACATACATACCTTTTCACTTGAAGGAAGCACTTTACGACTTTTCTTTGGCATATCTGAATTGCCAACATCGCTACTCTTGCGTTTTGGGGCCATTATAAAGTAAAATAAGAGCGATTTGAACACAAGCACTGTGATACGGTGACAGCTGATCTGATAACTGAATTGACCACTAAGTGACTGTAACAGGCAGGGATTATATGCAGCATGGAGCTGCTGGACGAAGGGGTGGTTCATGTCCAGGGTGGGACCTATGGAGATGGCACGAGGTTTCATTGTGTGACTCAGAACGTTGTGCAGTGTAAAACTTACGAATTGTTTATTTCTGGAATTTCTCAGTTAATCTTTTCAGACCACTGTTGATTGTGGGTAACTGAAATCACAGAAAGTGAAACTGAGGATAAGGGGGGACTGTTCTATTGGGAGTTTTTGATGTGACTGAACCAATGTACATTGTTAGATATCGAGATGGAGAACTTTGTCTTTAGGCTCCTCGGCCACGGCAACATGTGTTTGGTTCTATCGCTCCCCCATTGATGGCAGCTTCATGTCCTGTTTTACATTAAAAGTTTTTAGCATTTAGCCCAGGATGTCCTTGGTGATGGGCAGTTGGAGTACTCTGCCAATTGGAAGAGCAGTGAGCCTGAGGTAGGGTGGAGCACGTATAAAGACATACGGGCATGTATAAAGAAAGCCTGTGACTGGTCAGCTTACTCAGATCTCTAATAAACGAAGGGTCGAAGTTGTCCTGTCGCAGGGCTGCCACCATCTGTGGTTCCAGAAAGCCTGTGTTTTCCCATGTGGGATGGATGAAGTGCATTGGGACACAGTGGAGGTGATTGGAGTATTTTGGTGGTGACTGTGTCATCAGTCCACCAGGGCGCGATAGTGTGGCAGGATTGAGGTTCCACATCTGGGGCAGGTGGAACCGTGCATTCCCAAACTGGTAAGTAGCCAGTGGTCTCTGTTGGGTGCTGAAATGACTGTCACCATTCACTTTGGTTTTAGTAAAGCTATTCTTGGGGTGCTGTGCTTAACAGGGTACAGGCCTAGCTTTAGAAGCTCTGGATAAATTGTAACATGTCCAGGAGTCTGGGTTGTAGGAGGACTTGAAAGCATCTGGTAGAGAAATGGCTGAATGGAAGAGAGAGAGGTTTGCTCTGGTGGGGACAGAGTACTTCCTGTCTCATCTTTGAAAAGCTCTCTTGTAGAAAAGGGATGAGAACTGGGACCAGCAAGAAGTTGTTACAGGGAATTCAGAAATTCGGCTCAGTGAGAAAAAGACCATTTTAGTAGCCAGCGTTCTCTAAAGATACAGTGTATGAGTTTCACGTTACTGGAGGGATTTAAGCAGAACCTAGAAACATGTGGGAGAGATACATGCATTCAGTGTTTGTTGCACATGTTATATGTTAAGTGCTAAGATAGGGAACAACTGACCAGGTCTTACAGTGCTTGCCATCTTCTAAGTCGAAGCATCAGCTAATGTGGCTGTATTAAAGGAGCACTTATATTGCCTTCAGCTGAGATTCATAAAGGTTTGTTAATAGGAATCTAGTACCAGCAGCTCTCCTTTATTGGTGTGTTTGAAAACCTTGGGTCATCTCATGTGACCCCGTCATAGTAGCCTACCGAGAGGAACTCTCTAGAAATGCTGGAATACTAGCAGTAATGAGGTAGTCATTGTTCTGTGAGACAAAGGATTTAAAGCTGCTGCAATGAGTTTTGTGGTCCTATGTAAATTTTTCAGTGAGGAGGTAATTTTGCTGCCACAACCTTTTAAATGTGGGAGGACTTCAATAGCTAAAAATTCTGCCGCTCAGCAGTATGCTTCTCAGAGGACTGCAAACTGTCCAAGTAAGGTTCAAGCTGAGAACTTTGTCTCAATGAAATAGGAGCCAAATCCTTTGAAAATGGGACTAGCCCCTAAGTGTGGGCCATGGAGTCTAGTTATCCTGAAGTTGCTCACCCAGGGTGATGTTTTTATCTTTTGTTTCCTTTGCCCTGGTGGTTTACGCTACACAATGGAATGATTCCAGTTTTAAAGAAGCTTTTTGCATAGCAGTAAAACTGTACTGACTAGCATAAAGAATGAATTGAATGTATTGTTTCATAACAAAACCTGTTTGGAAGGGTCTTCTTCAGCATTCACTAAAGAAGGCATTAATAATAAATGCAGTATATAAAATGACTTACAAGAATAGAAGAGCTGGCAGTAGAAATTAGGTAGACATTTAATCAGAAACATGAAAGCCAGTTCCACAGTTTCTTTGTTACAAATGATTATTTGATCATAATAATTAACATTCATACAATTGTAAAAAATTGAAGCAAAATTGTTACAGATACGAAACTGTATGATTTAGTGGAATGTTAATTTTAATTTGTATAAAAAAATTACATGTATAAAATTGAAAAAGTCAAATAATACTACAAAGCTTCTGTTGAAAAATAGTAGCAGCTCTTGGCGGTCTCCACTCATGGTTCTTGGTCTCTATGGGAAAATCAATTTCAACTCTTTTTTTTTTTTTTAAAGATTTTTATTGGGGAATTGGGGGATAGGAACAGCGCTGGGGAATTGGGGGGAGGGGAACAGACAAGTTGCTGTCGTTTGTTCTT